TGTTCCTGTGTTTCTCAGTACTGTCTCCTGACAATTTTCTATGCCTCTCCCTTTTTTCATAGAGGCTTCTCTCTTCTTTCTGTTGTCTGATCCCTCTTCAGGGTACGATAATTGAGTTGATCTTACTCTACAGGCATGGACAGTGAGCAAAACAGGTAAGAAAAGGCATATTAATCTTTGTATAGAGATTCGTCCGTTGTTCTGAAATGGAAAATGGTCCTCTCTATGGAAGAGACTTTGTTATCCTCACTCAGGAACTAGGGAACAGAATATATTAATATTACATCCATTTCTCCTTGGCAACAATGATGAAAGTTGTATTTTTCATCAGGTTTGGAATGTCTGTTCCATGGTTTTCCCCTTTGTTCCCGCCACCATCTGGAAAGCTTGGAGAGAGAACACATCTTCATTCAGCTTTGCAAAAAAAGTCTGATTCAGGCTTAGGCTGTTGAGTTGGCTGAAGGACTGGAGACGTTGGAGCCAGGACAGAAGAAGGCAAGTCTGCAGCCTACCTGAATGCTGAAGGAAAGCTGTAACTTGGAGGCATGTCTCCAACAGCCAACTTTTTCAGAAAGGAACTAGAGCAACACTACCCTGGATTGCTTTTGCTTTTCTTGAAAGTTTCTCACACAGTGAGCATGTCTACCCTGTTACAGCCTAACTATCTCACTTCCCAAGATGATATAAGTAAAAACTTGTTATTGCAGTAATTCATAGAAATGCCCATTGAAGTTGCACCCTAATTTCCATGCTTACCTCTAGTTTCTCCTTTTTAGGACTTTGATAAATTTTAACTCTTATACTGAAGAGTTGGTGTTTGTCTTAAAAATAACTTTGAGGGGGAATAAGGGGAGTGAATATGCCTGGAGCTTTTTTGGAGGCTTTCATTTGCCCAGCAACCCTGATAGGCTTACAGTACAGTAGAATAAATCTAGTTTACAACTGGCCAGATGATTACAAAGGTGTAACAAAATACTGCATATGAAACTTCATTCAAACATGCGTATGAATTAGCTAATAAAAGCATTGAAATCGTGTTCCAATTACAGACCTAAAGTTGATTGTGTTAAAAAAAAAAAAGCACTAAGTGTATTGATGATGGAAAGGGAGAGAGGAGAGAATAGTGGAAACCGAAAAGGCTGCACTCTCAACGGCATTGTGTTGTCCTTCACAGAACTGCATATCCTGAACACCGTAAGTCAAGGGTTGCGTGCAGTGAGTTTTATTCCTTCAGTAGATAAATAGGCCTGACACTTACTTTAAACTGGCACAGAGTTTCACTGACTCAACTGAGTAAGGAACATGCATTTTAATACCTTTCAGAGAAAAGAAAAGATATTAACAACCAAGATGGGGGCTGATTGATTTCATTTTCATGAGTGAGTGAATGAATTATATGTACTGGTGGCATTTCAGTGATCTTTTTTAAAGTATATTTTGGTATAATTAGGATGAGAAGAAAATATGAAGATAAAGTAAATGCATGTGTAACTCTGCAAAGATACCTGACAATACATTTTATTTAAATGACTAAACCACTTCCTGTTCTCTGAAAGACATAAAAAAATAAAAAATATTAAATTTTCCTCGGGTCCCCTGATGTATGTGAGGGAGGGAATCCTCTAATCACAGCCTTTGAACTTTCAAATTCAGCTGGAGAACCTTACATTAGGAATAATGAATCAGCTAACGTGTAATTTAATCTAAACCTGTAGTTTCAAATCATATGGTAAACTATTGTAGAAACTTTTAAGAGAACGAAAAATTCTTCTTGTACTAGTAGCTGTTAGAATCAGTGGAGCACGACACTGGGTGAAATGTACATCCCCCCCCTTTATTTACTTTGTTCTCATTTTTATGTTAATGTAACTGTTTATATTAAAGATTAATGTCAGGAATAAACTCTTATTCAGCAACCTCCTTAACAACGACCTTCTACAACACCACTTAAGAGCGTCACACAGCCCACAGGCTAGCACTGGACAGGAGCTAGTTCAGTGCATGCAGAAGCACCCTTGGGTACACTAAGGATAAGTAATTATTTGTGAGCCTGTAGATTAATATCTTCTTTGACTGCTTCCCCATCAAGTTCCCAAGGACCAGCTACTCCATTCTACCTTTTTGTTTATGGCATCTTTTCTTCTATCATATAGAGATAACTCATAGCAAAGTGGCCAACAGACAGAGATTCAGTTACTCAACGTCATTTTGGTAATGGAAGGCTGATCTGATTTCTGGAAAACAGACTGGGAACCTTGGTTCCTAAATTTCTGGTGATGTTGTAACTACCTGTCTGTTCTGCAGTGAGTGATACCTCTTTGAGCTGATCTCTGGTAACTGTTCTGAAATTTCTAACATTGTCAGAATATTCTTAGTTAGCTTTTGTGCAGTAGTTTCTAAGATAGTATTTTATATAAATAATCTCTGTTAAAAATAAACAAGAAGATAGCTCAACTACAGAAGAATCATCCAGTTCAAATCTTCATTCATCACTAAAGATTTAAAGGAAAAATATCTTTACAAAACTGTTACAGAGTGCACAATAATATATTCTCAGTGGATGGAATCCACTCAGCTTTTTTCCTCATAGTAGACTATTCTACCATGATTTACTATTTTCAAATTATCTGCACTTTTTTTTTTCTTTTAACAGGCACAACATTGATGTTAATGGCTGTATGTTACACCCAGTTTTAGATACTAAGCCCTATTGGGAAGGATGTTGTCTTTTTGTTTGTACCTTCATAGCTACATCATTCACTGTGTATAAATACGAGAAATAGCATTAAATGAGTAATTTAAGAGATGATAAAGTAACAGCATAAATGCCAGATGAATAAACTTGCACATAGTTTTAAAAGGGGTAGTGGTACTGTTGTATTTTAAAATGTTCACTGCCTTTGGAAGCAAACAGAATAGCTTCCAGAAGGCATGAGACTTCTTTTAAGTTATCATGAAGGATGAAGGAGATTAAATAGGTAAGTTACAACAGAGGCAACATTACTATGACCAAAGGGCAAAATAAGCTTGTTTACTGAGAAAGTCACACAATCCTGTGTCTGCATCTTGCTACATGAGTAATGGCTCTTTATATTCTTTAATAGCAGTAGGGGAAATACTATAGTCGAAACAACACTGGCTGTATTTGTATTTGAAATGCTCAGCATAAATAGAAACATACTTGCTTGTGATGCATTTGATTTTTTTACAGGCTTAGAAGAGTAAATAACCTTAACTTGACTCACATGTGCTACAGGCGATCATTGTGGAAGAACTAGCATGCAGTAACTTGTACCTGCTCAAGACAGTGGCTCATGACCTGCTCTGTCATTATCATGTATCATATCTTCAGCACCATCTGAGAAGTGCCAGGACCTGTTTTTTTATCATAGAATCATAGAATGGTTTGGGTTGGGAGGGACCTCTAAAGGTCCAACCCCCCTGCCGTGGGCAGGGACATCTTGAACTAGAGCAGGTTGTTCAGAGCCCCGTCCAACCTGACCTTGAATAAACATTGGTGGATGGGGCATCCACCACCTCTCTGGGCAACATATAGCCTTCCATACGTTACATTGGTGGGGTTTGAGTTCCAAATTTTTCTCCATAATCAGGAAGGCTATATTCTTCCTGCTTTTAATAAAAGCTAAGATTCTGATGTAATCACTCTGGCAGTTTGCATGAAGTCATATGAAGCTATTGAGTATTCAATGATTAACTCAGTTTTGAGCTGATTAATTGTTTCTATGACTTCTACAGAGAAGCAGCTGATAAGCCAACGGAAAAGATGAGCTATAGTTTCAAGTATGAGCAATTACATGTTTAGAATTGAAGAAGCTAAAGAAGCTTTGATCAAAATTCATTGTAAAAAAAATCCACCCTGTCCTAAGCAACAACTTCACTGCCATAACTAGCATGAAGACCATTCAGAGAATTCCTGTTTGGCTTTTCCCCCCTACCTGCATATTTAGGCAGACTGGCTTTGCACAGGGACCTATCCATCCACAGTGCAGTACATTGGCAGGGAAGGCCGGGTGGCACGGGGCTGTGGAGGCATCGTGGAGGTGCCATGGTGGCAGGGCTGCATGCACGGTGCCTGCCTTGGAGCCCCGCTGCAGCCCTTGCACAGGTGAGGGCCCACAGCTGGGGCACTCTGGTTTTTCCTCCATGGCAAGATACCATGCAGGCATCTCTCTGCTCTGCCTGATGCCATGGGACAATCAAGTCTTTGAAAGTGGGAGAATCCCACCTCAGGTCCCTCAGCAATAGGCCCCACTGCTCCGGGAAGGACTGGCCTGCCAGCGCGGAGCTGCGTGCAAGCCTGGGTGGTACTGAGTGCCGTATGCTAAAGGCTTTTGGGTTATAACGAGGTCACCTGGCCACGCTGCATACTGGAAATGCAATTAATACAGAATCATCCAGAAAGCCTGTTGGGGAGCTCTGAAGAGCGCTACAGAGGCTGGACACTTGCAAGGATTTTCCTCCTGTATTAAACACCCCTGAGGGTCAGGGGTTATGGCCTCGCATGTTGCGAAAGGCCAGCTAGGTATAGGCATTAAGTCCAAGCAAGAGGGGAAGTCTGCTAGAACTTGCTGTGCCAGGATTAAACTGTGAAAAACACAAATGTGAAAAAAATCAGACCTATTTACTATGTAATTCTGGTACGAGTGAACAACAAGGAGTGGGAAAACCAAAGCAGAGCATTAAGTCCAAGCAAGAGGGGAAGTCTGCTAGAACTTGCTGTGCCAGGATTAAACTGTGAAAAACACAATGTGAAAAAAAATCAGACCTATTTACTATGTAATTCTGGTACGAGTGAACAACAAGGAGTGGGAAAACCAAAGCAGAAAATTATAGGGTGCTAGTGATCTCATCTAAAATACTAGAAATGTTTCCAAGCCTTAAATTTGCTGTATTACCTAGTTTTCTTGTTGGGCTGTAAAATAACATTTAAAGCTTTGCTGAAATTTCCTAAAACGTCGTGTTGTTTAAGTGACACTTACCTGCCTCCCCAGCCTGCTCAATGCTCCAGCGGAGTTTCGTGTTGACCCCGCCGGCCCCAGCATCCTGCCTGCTGGAACATTACTCAGAACAGAAGCACATAATCTGGATCAGGAAAGTACATTGTGGGACCTAGACGTGGAAAAAATAAGTATATATAATGTTGCAATAGAGTTCAACCCATCTATCAAGAGCATTCAAAGCAGGAAGTTGCTGAAATTTCACAAGTAACTTTTGCAAGTCCCCTTTAAATCTTCTAAATTAAGGGAAAACACAAGACACAAACTTTTTAAAAGGCTTATTTTTATCTAGATAATAAAGACCCATCTTTGAATGCTGCAATGTAAGGGGGGTTCCCCCTGGAAAATGTATATTGTCATTAAAGGATAAATTTTTGTGACTTCTAATAACAATCAGAAGAGTGGTTCTAGCCCAGGTAGCTAGCATTAAAGTCATTAACAGCAGTATAATTCTGTTTTTTATAAAGGGCTGGAAGAGTTCCCCTAATTACTACAACACAGCATGACAATTGCTTTTAATAGTTGCTTTTACATAGACATAGTACAGTCCAGCTATGCGATTTTACTTTTGTTCTCCCCTATTTTATAAAATAAATTAGAAGAGAATACATGAGGCAAACCTTATGGAACCAAGGTTGGGTCAGCAGCAATCCACTATACCACCGCCATTTAAGCAGTGTTTTCATAGTAAGGATCATGGCAACTGTCTAACCACCTCATTCCCCTTTTTATTACCTTTTTACAGATGACACAATAAAACCTAATTGGAATGTTTCCCTTCTCTTTTAGAAACCTCTTTTTTCCTAGAATCGCTTTCAAATCTTGCAAGTGTTGGGGTTGGAGAAACAAGTAAATTTTTGTTCAAACAACTGGTTTTGTATTCATAGCAAGACCTTGAAGAGATACAGCAGAAAATGACGAAGGCATGTTGACAGAACAGTTTATTTGGACATCAGTATTAGTATTTTTTGTAAAAGGAGTCCCAATGCAATCTGCAAGAAAATAAGTTTGTGAAGGAGGTTGCCTACCAAAGTTGTGGAAGCTCCATCCTCAGAGGTATTAAAAAATCAACGAAGCCTGGAGCAACCTGCTCTAACGTTGAAGTTAGCCCTGCTTTAGGTGGGAGGCTGGAAGAGGTGACCTGTAGATGCCTCTTCCAATGTAAATTATTCAATGAAATTAGGCCTTGAATTAAAAAATGTGGTGGAGGAGGGAGGCAGAAATATGCAAACACGCACAGGTGTGTGATTGCATAAGCATTGTTTTCTTAGAAAATTAAATTAAACACTTATAATTTCAAAGATATGGGCTGGGAACACAGTCCTATTTCTATATATATATAAAAGGGCTATTGCCTACAGTTTTGTTAGGGCCTTCTGCAGCTGGGTCTCAAACAGTAAGACTCAGTTTCCGTTGCTTTTAGTTTGGTCAGGTTGAAATTGTTAGAGCTGAAATTTCCTACACTGAATTACTTACTCAGGCTAGTGATTTTAAGTCCCATCAAGAGTAGTTCAGTCATTTCCAAAAACAAATTAGCAGAAATATGCATTTCTTTCATATAAAGAAAATGTTTATAACCATTTAATTAAAGCTGTGTTTTTTAGTAATGTGTTCAAGTTTAGCAGCCTAGAAAACCTGCATAAACTCGGCCAAGTCATGAGTGGCTTAGTTGACATAACTGCAGGAAAGATTTGCTAGCGCTGTGTAGCTGGTCTCCAGCAGTCTCTTCACAATGAAGATATTCCATCTCAGAGCTTCAGAGGCAAGCAGAACTCTTTGTATATTAAAAAAAAGGCTTCCTACAGGAACAATGTGGTGAAGGCTGAGGAACAGAAATTAGTGATGCTGCTGGTGCACAGCAGTGGAATTTGAGTAGTATGACTGAATGTAGAGCACAGCAAAGAATTAAGACAGAGTGGAGGTGAAAAGAAGGAGGAAAGGTTGAGTGTGGCAGAAGTGGGAGGATTTATGAACACTAAAGCATATTCTTCTCGAGAACTTGAAACTCAATCCCGTGCTCACTGCCTTCCCATGAATTCATAATTTTAAAAAGGTATTAGATCTTTAATCACAGTATGATGTAACGATTTCCTTTTTCTCCCACAGGATTTATGAACAAAATGGATTCTGTTCACTGAATGGATCAAGCTCCTGAAAAAAACCTGTATAAACGTCCTTATTTGAAAAAGCAAGATGTGTAGAAAAGGAGGCAGAAGATCACAGAAAGAAAAGCATGGGTTCAATGACAAAGGCAGCTGAATGCAGCTGTGAGGAAGAGAGTCCTGTCCCTGCCTTCATCTCACCATCTCCCTGTGATTTGGGCAAGTTCCTTAACCCAGATTTTTCACAAGCGACAATCATTTTCTGAGTTCCCTCCTGCAAGAAATCTTGACTTTAAGTTGCTTTGTATATCTGCCCTTAGGATGAGATGCTTCATGCTCCCCAAGCATATATTTCTAGTCGCTATAGTCAGCTAGCTCAGATGCAGGTCTCTCCAGTGTAGATGCTACAGTTTGCAGAAATGAGTGCCCTTTACAGAGCTTAGTTCAAAAAAGCATTGAGTTCTCACAGCTGCAACAGAACATGCTGGGGGCTATATGTGAACATAGGCAAGCCTAGAGAATCTCTTAAAAAACAATCCATCTCCAGGTATCACATACTGGACCCAAAATCATTAGGTTCTTCCAATCTTTTTCCATTTGTAAAGTAAAATTCCCATTTTCTTATCCTTCAGGACTTTTGAGAAAAATGAACTAATTCATGTTCAAGAAGCAATTGGATACTATACTGCTAAGTGCCATAGAGGGAGGGCAAAAAAAGATAAAATTAATTATTCTGGATATACAACGTGGTGCAAGGAATGTGCAGCAAATCAGACATGGGGCCATACAAAAGAAGAATACATGAAATACAGACTATCTGCTTTTCCTGGTTTTCCCGGGTTTTTTTAATATATATATAATATATATTTTCTAGACAGTGTAAAATCACATTTCTTGTGCCCATGTAACTAATTACTGTAAGATATAGTGTAACTAAGGCTGTAGACCTTTTTTTATTAAATAAAAAAGATGTAAAATTAAATAAAATGAGTGAAAGAAAGCTGTAAGTAGCAAGGCAGCATGTAAACCTCAATGTGATGACTTTTGCCATCACCAGCATCCAGTGTTGGTCATCGCAGAGCAGGTTTACACTTGGAATCCCCGGGCTGAGAACAGGGACTAGTGCAATCCCAGGTGGGCTCCCAGTGCCGCCCTCCTTCCCAGCCCCTCTGCTGCCCAGCGGTGATCCACGCTGCACGTGGCAGCCCTGAGTACAATTAGTCACGTTAACTCTAGTATCAGAACTAATCTAACCTCAGGAATGTGAAATACTATTTGATCTATTTCCCCTGCCAAGAAGCAGCATAAAACTCCACCTAGCAACCATACCATTACCAAAGTACACTAGCAGGGAAACAAATCATGCTGCTTGTTTTTCGGCCACAGGCTACAATAGACGAGCCTGCGAGAGTTACTGTGACTCCCATTCCCATGTTCTTGAAAGCACACTACACGCACTCGGTTTTAACAGATATGCAGATGTCTATTATTTTAAAATACTTTGACGCAGCCTAATATGACATTCAGACTGAGGCTACATGACTCAGGAGACAGCCAGTATGGCTTATACAAACAGATATAATTAGTTATTATTTTTGAACACGTGTGCTACGTTGATACCTTTTACTCTTCCAAGCAGGTTGGTGGCAGTAACCAGCTGCAGCTTTCAGATGTCAGGCGCTTAGATTTCCATGTTCCTGCAATACCTCTCCTCAGTCCTGGAAGGGCAGGTAAGGTTCCTACTTCCCCTTGCAGGAAGACAGACAGTGACACTGTCACTTGCTGGAGATACACGCAGGCACCACTGGTACAAGTGCCATAATTCTTAATTAGCCAATGCAGCACCAAAACAGGCCACAGAGTTCATGTCTAATTTTCCATCATGTTGGTTACAGAATTGGTATTATGTTAATAATAGTTAACAACATATTAACAGTTAATATGATATTTAAGATATGTGGAGTGAAACCTTGTCAATGTTGTTATTCCTTTACATAAAATGGGTCTTCTACTGCATGAGTTGTTCACAAGATCGTTAGCTCAACAACTGCATTGTCGTATTTTGTATCTGCACAAACAGGATCTGTGGCAGACGGTGCCCTGACATCACCAATGAGCTCAAGTCCTTTCTCCAGCAGATACAATAAACTTCTCCACGCTGTCCTTACTTATAGCTTAAACTCTAGGGAAGAAAATTACTAAGCACTTGACATTCACAGCCTTCTGGCAGTCTGCAGCCAGGGAAAGGTACACTGGGAGCCATTTTTGGCTAGCAGTTTAGAATATGGCAATCCCTCTACTCAAAAATAAATTACAGCCAGTAAATTTGCTTCACTTGTATTTTTATTTTACAAAAAGGCACTCTAAAACATTTGATAAATTCTAGTCATGGGTGGGCTGGTTTAGCAACTTTGGTGTAAGATTTTTTTTAACTGTCACAGGGTCAACCCTTCTAGTCTACAGGTATTTTTATAAAGTAGGCTTTCAAAAACAGTTCCTCAGTGGGCAACAAAATCAGCCATTTTTTTGGTAAAGAATTTTTAAGCATTGGCACTAGAGTTAATTGATAAACTATTAAACTGTTAAGTTGTAATTTATAGTAGCTATAATGGCAACAATGTCTGAGTGATCACCCTATGCTGCCACTAAAGACATACCTCATCTGTTACAGCATGAAATACTGTAAGATGGTTTGTAACGATGCATATATCTTGTTACCTGCTGATAATAACCTATCGGCAAGGACAACAGTTTAATTATATAGTACATCTCCTGCTGGCTTCCAAATATTTCTGCTGCTCTTCCCCAATTTCTTAGCTAAAAAAGAATCAGTCTCCTTGTTTTTACAGTAGTACATTAATTTATGAATGGAAGACAGAAAGCTTTTATTAGCTGCTGAGGTGCCTGAATTCTTTGTGTTGTCATCATGATATAAACATCTAGCGCCAGCTGCCCATAAGTCCTGATGGATGGTGGAGAACAGGCCCCAGATCGGCTAAGGGATGTGGAGGAAATCCCAGACTAGACCTCTCACAGAGATGTGCAGAATATTATCTCAAAAGTGGCACTCAGCCCTGGCCAAGTGGGATCTCTGCTTACACTGATACAGTACAGCCAGCTTGGATGAAATGTCTTTCTCTTATAGTCCTTCCTTCAGGTTCATTCCGAGCGTGGAATCATAGCACCCATCTTGGGAACGGCACTGGCCCAGCAAGAGCAGAGGAGCCTTCAGTAGGCAGGAACCTTTGAGGTGGTCACCAGCAGCTAAGGTTCAGTGTTTGGCACAGAAGCAGTGAGAAGGTAAACTGATCTGAGATTAATGACACGGAATCAGAAGTCCTTTTGTCTGTGAAAGAATAATCTGTGTGTCTAGGTACTGTGGACCTCCAACATAGTCCTATCCCTTTGAACTCCTGCTCGAAAAGGAGTTTTGAGCATCTATTCCCATGAGAACCTATTATTAGTGCTTTCTACCAGACTTTGGTCTTTGCAGAGACAGATATATCAGCTTGTTTGTTAATATGTCAGCATTTATTCCTGGAGTTAACTCCTGTCCTATCAATCAAAGCCTGTAAAATGGGAATCAGAAATCTGGGTTGAGTGAGAAGAATGTCTTTAAATTTGGGAACTACTTATAAAAAAATAAGGTGTTGCTTCATACACATTTCTCTGAGTAATAAATGGTCAATAATAAATAACTGATAGTAGGGATTTCCCCCCTCCATTTCTGAGCAATTACTTTTGAAATACTTCTGAAAATTAGAAATATTTTAGTATGCATGCACAGCAAATGGACATGTTTGAGATATTCTTGCTTTGCCTAACACAATAATTTGGTGTAGAGAATTGGAAATGTATTATAATAATGAGAATTGGCAGTGCATTACAGTCCTGTAGTTAAAATAACCTTTAAAGTCACTATCTTCCTTTATGAGTTTTTAAGTGCACAGAAAGACCTCATGAAAAACATGAGTACAAGGGTATTTACTCTCCCGGCTTTCAGCTCCTATTAATGGTGCAGTGATGAAACAGAGGATATAGCAGCAAGACCGTGTCAGGTAAAAAACAAGAGGGATAAAATATGTACTTCTGTGCAGACTAACAAGTTTGTTCCAACAACTGAAGTTGGGCTGCTGTGCTTTACTGATCCCTGCCAGCAATAACACTGTGTTGGCCTGCAGAACAGTGATCTACTTTACACCACAAAACACGTTATTTTCATAGAACAAGGTGTCTCACAGAGGGGCTGTTCCAGATTGACCTTCTCCCTGATGCGCTGGCTGCAGCAAGCTGAACTCCCTGGGCACAGAAGAGGGAAACATTTGGCTGACAGAACCCTGCACCTGACCTTGGAAGGCTTGTGTCAAATGTATTACTGGCCATGGCCTGGAAGAGACTGCAAGCTGAAGTGAGAAGGAACTTTTCACTCTTCAGAAAAAAACTAGCATTATGTTATCCATACTACACAATTACTCCACATCAGCCTGTACCTCTGTTCCCTGTGATCCCTCTCTATTTCCAGTGAGGATCTAGGAAGCCTCAGAATGGATCTGACCATAATATTCTTTTTCCCAGAGAATTCATTCCTAAAGACAACAGGGACTGATGTTACACTCTAGAGAGCTGGCAAAGCTGACCGTTATCATTTGAGTTCACAGGGCTAAAATTATTGTTACAGGCTATAAAGTCATACTACATGTTCTTAGAGTTTAGAACAGTCCAGTAGGCTCCCAAAGAATGAATTTGATACCTCTCTTAATCTGTAAAGATCATTTGTTTATACTAAGTTGATCTATAATTAAGTATCTCCTTCCAAGATAAAATAACCAAGTGATACCTTTCTATTTATCTAGTACATGTCAAATAAATTGGTAACTGCAAATCGAAATAAACACATTCAGAACGGGCAAAGGAAGTGCTATGCTATTGGCTATTTGGAAATTATAGCAAAACATATTGTGATATTATAATCAGGACTTTGTTCTGCAATATCAAACTCTTTTAAAAGTAAGGAGCACAAATAGACCTGCTGTATACAGAAGGAATCACAAGGTAGTGGTTGTGCACAACAAGGAGAATTTCCTATTACTGGCTTTTACAGAGGTAATTTTGCAGGTTTTAACAATACAATCCTTCACAAGTTTCTGCCCCACACGTCCCTTTTCCTCCTACCTTTTGGTTTCATTAGGTGGAAAGTGGTATTTTTAACAGCAGACTCATAAATGCATTTGCTTACTGAGGTTTATTACCGGCTAATACCTCCCTATTAACCTGCTATCACCTACAGTATCTCTGTATCACTATTTGCAGTAGGATTCCACTTGATTGCAAATTTTCAGTTCCCTCCCTGCATTTAATGCACTTTCAAGTGTATACACTAAGATGGTAAATAACTTTTCTCCCAGCTTTTTTATCTCTGTCCTTGCTATGTTAACTAGGCTCACAGCAGCATCTTTGTTTTCTCCTCATTTTTGCTGTGTGAATTTGTTAGAAAACAATGACAGATTCTCACACAGCAGAACCAGAGAAACGGGTGCCAGGTACAAGGTTAAATACAATTGTTAAACTACGTCTTTTATATTTATAACAAATCTTATGAGACAATTTTAAAAAACATTAAATAATTGGAAGCTAAGCAGTATGAGTTCCCTCATCTTCTTAGTACAAGAAAGAAAGAAAAGCAAGAGGATGTCAAAAGTGTAAAATACTCACAAGTCTCGGTAAAGCTGTGCAGCACATTGGCACAGAGGCGGTTAGGATAAAGTTTGCAGTAGTGACAGCAGCAATCGCTCCACCCCCTCCTCCGTCCTGTTTTACTTTCAGTTGTTGTATAATAATGTAGGACTATGTTTGTTCCTAATACAGTCTGGAAATTATTCTCACCACAAATAGCAGATAGTAGGGATTTCCCACTGCCATTTCTGAGCAATTTTCAAGCTTGGAAAAAAACCAAAAAAAACGTGGGGAAAGACATATGCCTGTGATTCAGAAGGCAGGCAAGTGACTGACAAACACAAAGAGCAGCTGCGTGCTGTCCCAAGCAGCAACTTATCCTTCCATAAAGGGAAGGAAGCCCACAGTTTGTGCCCTTGTCTCTGCACAGTCCCTTTCCCCTTTGTAACCTAAGTGTATCCTCCCAAACAGAGCTCCCAAGAGTTGCTTACCTTGGAAGCAAACACTATAACTCTATGCTTAACTCCTCCTCTTCTCTGCAGCCTGAACAGGAGGGAAAGAGAAGTTGCCTTTCAGGGCAACATCAAGAAAGAAGAGCACAGCCGTAGGAAAGGATTGGCAGGACAAAAGAGTTTCTCCAAAAGGTACAGCATCTGGCTTGCTGTGGGACGACAGCACAGAGAGGTGTCATAGGCCCAGGTGACATCAGAAGAGGATCCTTATAAAGCAGCTGAAAAAATACTCTGCAAATTGCACTGAACTCAAAAGTTGTGGATTTTAGTGCTTAAGATAAGTGTGGGTTTAGTGCCTATGATAATCACAGGGCATGGCAGCTGTAATCCTAAAGTCCTGCTTAGACACCTCGTGATGAAAATCCTTTCTACCTTGAGCTAAACTTTAATGTCCTGAAGATGAGGCTCGGCAGCTCCCTAGAAGCATTCTCAGGTTTCCAGGAACCATCACTTACCTATGTAAGGGTCACGCACTCCAGAGGCAACAGTGAAAATGGTACTTCCTCTTATGCAGTCGTCTTTCTGTCCTCTTCTGCGTTATTCTGGGTGCTGGTTGTTATTTTGTGCACGTCACACTCTGTGAGGTCGTAAAAATACTCTGCTGCTAAATGCGAGGGGTTTAGAAATGGCTCTGTCTCCTTACTGAAGAAGTGATGTTTCTAGAGTTGGGCATTTCCTTCCTGTTTCTCTGTGAAATAACATTTTTTCAGGAACGCTATTTATAAAACCTGGTGAACAATACCAGTTAGTTACCTGTGCTGGGATATTCTATTACAGCCAGATTCAGAAAATCTACTTAAGGACCTAAATAAGACTTCTGTATCTTGAACAGCTGTCGTACAAAAGAGAGAAACAAGGACTGGAACTGAGTGTTTCCAGAGAGTACTTTTAGGTGGCCGCATGACAAATTCATTACATGAGGCAGCTTGCTGCCATTTCTCAGCACCCCTGCACACCGTATCCTGTGGTTCAACGCTTGGGTCCAGCATCCATTCTGCAGAAAAGGCACCAAAGCGAAATGCAGCCACGCTGATTAGCTCCTGTACAGGATCTGGTTTGCAGTCACTACCACTGCAAAGAACCTTCCAGCAATGTAACACAAGGCAAAAAAGCAGAACTCACAATTTCATGCTCTCCAGGGACTCTTGGCTCTCTCACATGACACTGTATCTGTGTCTCCAGAAAAGCAGCTACTCACGCTCCTTGTACTCTGTCTTAGTATAGAGTGTTAATATCACTTTTTAAGCAGTTGTGCAGACATGGGAGGTGAAATCTGCCTCAGCTGGCAGCTCTTAGAAACCTGGGCAGGATTTGAAAGAGAAAGTGGAAGTACAGACTTGGCTGGAATTCTTGCCATGACAGAGAACAAAAATGCAAGTGAAAAGGAAGTACCAGCATTGCAGGAAAAAACACCAGCCTAGATAAATATTTAAACCAGAGGAACATACTCGTTTATTAACTGTCTTGTGATAAGGGCACATCTTCTAAGACAAAAGTGGTCATAAACACCTCTGTTTCTTCAGTTTACTCCAGCTCAAAGAGTGAGAGTGAATTATTTCAAGTATACATGTGAGTGTATGTATTTGGACGGGGGATCCCAAAGTCTCTCATATTTGTCACTGCTTAAAACTGAGAGAAAATAGATTGTTTTCCATTTGTCTTTGCTTTTTGATGTGAAACCTTTGCTATACCATAATTTGTCAGAATTTTCTCAACTAGGAAAAGTTTCTAAGCAAACAGCCAAAAACAAGCACACAAAGCTTTAGGTATTCATGAATTATATTCTGTGGGAAAAGGGGAAAAATCACTCATCTAAAATTTTTTTAAAATCACTTTCCAAACAGTTTCCTTTGAACACTGCAAAATGGAAACACTGTATATAGGGTGGATTTTTTTTTTTTTTTAAAAACTACCTCTCGGGTTTGTTCTTTTTTTAAGAACTATGTTTTGCTGGCATTTCTGAAGTTAAAATATATCAATTTCTAGCTTAATAAAAAACCTGTTCCTAAACATTACAGTAGTTGTATATAAAAATAATGCAAGTGTCAGTATGTATTACGTTACAATAGAGTGGCAATACTACCTGCACTCCCTCAAAATTTAATTCTCGTTCATTTTCTTAATTACACAAAAATGTGCTTCCTAATTACACAAGGGACATTTTACAGTCATCTAAACACTACTAGCCACATCAAGGTGTTTATTTATAGCATAAGTTATTCTCATCCTCTGCTACGAGCAAAATACCCCTTTCTAATTTATGGAAGTTTCATTTATAGTGGACACAGGCTGTTTGGCAAGATATTGGCAATTGCTGTCACTAATGAGCTACTAAATTGTAATTTAGTATGATAAGTGCAGTGACAAAGAATGTGAATCGCTTACATCATGCAAACAGTAAAGTGAAAACAGATGCATGAATGTCATTTTGAAAATAAAACAGGATAACTGAAAATTCAAACATGACCGTACTGATTTGAAGCAACATTGCCCAAACGTTTTGTGCGCCTGCATGACAGCCAACAAGTTTGGGTTTGCTGTACTCTTAAAAGTTTGCCCGTATTCTCGTGAAATTAATTCCTCTGGAATTGGTCTTAGTTTTGTTGCTGAACACCGGAGAGGAAGTATTGCTACAGGAGCAAGAGTGAAGAAGTGGGAGGGAAGAAGGCTTTTCCAGAGCAACGTGATGTGGGTGGTTATACAAAAATGTCGTGTTTTCTGAAGGTAGCTGGAAAAAAATGGCCGTTCTTGCAGAGACAGGTCCCTTCAGGATGGCCCCCAACCGACCCAGCTCAGAGCCAACTTTCTTTGCTAAATTTCTGAACGCTTAAAGATGGGACTGCACTATGCTCTTCTCACCTACTGTCTCAGTATCAGTTCTTTTAAAAAAATTCTTGAAATGGAGGCTTTCTCTGATAAGACACTATGCTCTGATAAGCATAATGATTTTTTTTTTTAAATGAATTCCAAAATTTTTAGAGAACCTGAACCCAAATGTATAGGCAGATGCAGAGGACAGTAATTGGAATTTGAATAGTGTCTCTTCCTGAGTATTTTTTTATCATAGTGTTCCTGCTGTGTTTGAATTTTTGCTGCAGGGCTGAACTACTACACCCTCAAGTATCAACTTCGTGAATTTCTGCATAGGAAAATGAAAGAACTGTTGTTTTCTTCCTCTAGGTGACAGAGTGGATATAAAGAGCTGATAAGCAGGTACCGCTTTGCAGCCAGAGGAGCTAACTCAGGGGAAAACAGCCTTCTGCCTTTGAGGAGTCACACACCAGCATTCACCATTACTGCATGGGGTTTCAGCTAAGGTGAGCCTTGATTCTTGTGATAGTGGCCAGCAGCAGAGTGCCTTACTCCTGAGCAGGAGAGGGCAGAGGGGAACTTGTATGATGAGGGGCTTATGTAAATCTGTCTTTGATACATGCTAGGAAGGTGCATTTCTGGAAATTATAATCTTCAGCAAATCATACACATAACTGAATTTGGGAACTGTCCTGCACCAGTGCTGTAACAACACCTAAACCAATATTCAAGTCTGAAATAATTCCATGGCAGAGTTATTGCTGTAATAGAACACGTAATATACTAAACATGTTACTAGGTGGGAATGTGTGCCTTCAGAAAATCTAGGCAACTTCTGTTTCATGGCTGGTATAGGACTATAGGTAATCTGTCTTTTTTTTTCATACTAAATTATAATGTGTCCTAAATTATAGACTCTTCAGATTGGTTATTAAAAACTTCTGGCACCTCAAAAAATGCTATTTAATTTCTAGACACATCTGGAGAGACATTAATATTCTGCCTTTCAGAAGCATGCACAATATTTCTGGCATGTTATAATTTATCAACTATTGCCACTAAGCATGAGCTATTCCTATTTAAAGAGCTAGTGTTTCCAAGCAAAACCATATCAATTGCTAAGTTAGCAAAAAGAAAACAAAGGGAAAGGCTTTTAATGCTTAAAATGAGTAGGAATATGTTTCTGAATCTGTGAAAAAAGTTAATGCAGAGAAATGTGCAGCTCTTAGTTGGAGTTATGTGAGGAACATATAATCTCAAGTGTTTTGTTTAGTGCCTTATGAACAAGCACTATCCTATTTAGACAAAATATTTGCAGTACTGCAGCCTAAAAGTTTTCCTAAATGAGTCACTCCTTAAGTTGTGTGATAGATACAGAAAATCATACACAAAATAAAATAAATATGTGAATAAAAAAGCCGGCTAACATCCCAAAAGGCACATCTTCACTATAGCGGTTTTCTCAAGTTATACTTGTGTTATTTCTCTCTGTGTTAATCAACCCTGAGTGGAGTGGCCAGACCATAAAACTCTTGCAGTTCACACTGTCTCAGCAGTCTCTGATGTAGAGAGCTACATGCCAAATCCACAAAACTGTTAGCCAATCTAATCCTTGTTTAAATTCCCACAGGAATAATTCTCTACTCAAACGCTTTTCTGAAGTTAGGTGCTGTGCCACTTGACTTTAGATGGCTGGGTACTTTCTGAACTGGGCAGCTGGAGCCCAGTGCAGTGCCGTGGGAGTCAGGCACATTTCGCTGTTAGGGTTCACGTGCTGAA